TTAATCAATTACCTTTACATTCAGATCTAAGCCCCAAGGATATACTACTATCTTGATCATGTGTGTTGAAAGTTTTGCTTATATTGTCTTGTTGAATTGCTTCCTTGAACTTTTTGATTGTTACGAGTTGTATTATCCTTGAAGTCGCTTCCAAGCTTGTTTGTTATCATCAAAACTCTTGTATAATTGCACTCTTCATTTTGAGTGCATTGGTTTCAAATTTTCTTGGCTAAGACAATATTCCTAACACTTTTTGTGAAGGCACCAAGGCTCATTTACATCACAACATCCTCAACCATGCAAAACCTCTTAAAACACATACATTTTACAAGAATAAAATTCTGAACTACATGTAGGTCATTTTTTATGGTTGATTTATCATCACAAACACCATCTAATCCTACTTTGTCAAATGACCTAATCCTAAATCAAACCACAATCCAAGTTGGTTACAATTCTTCTCATGAACAATCTTCAAAAACATCTGTTAAAGCTTATGGTTCTTACCTTCAAATCAACAAGGAAGACCGATGGAAGGCTTCTCCAAGCTTGAAGGCTCCCAAGTCTCCTCTTTTCTCACAAACTCGAAAATGGTGGAGGCTCTTGAGGGAAAATGATCTCTTCACACAATGGTTTTTGAAGGAAACTAATGGTGGATTCTTATTAGTTTTGTGATTTCAAGCAACTTTGATGATAAACACTAAAGGTTTTGATGGCTAGATGATGGAGTTTGTGTGGAAGCTCATTTCCATAGGGGAAGGTTGTTCTCTGGTTTGGGTTACTGCTTTACGAAAAGGAAAGAGGAAAATTTGAAGGAAAACGATGTATTATAATCACTTAAGTGGTTTGACCCTTAGTCAGTGCAAAACTGTTGTAGCATATTAGTTAGTAGGTGAAGGCGTTGTAGCATGTTCTGGTATTTTAGTAAATTAACAAGATAATTGGAAGGAAATTCAAGATTTTCATTCAATTACCCTCTAATTAGATATTAATTTCTAATTAACATAATTTGATTATTTGGATTGTTATAGGTTTCGCCGAAGACGCCACAACGTCGGTAGTCACTCGCCATTTAATCCTGTAATTGTACTCCATGGACACGACAAGGACGGCGGCTGTGGCCATAATGACAGGAGTAGTTTTGAATTATACTATGACAATGGCGATAGCACCCGTCTACCATGTCGGAGTTCTTGCTTGGATCAGGCTTCGATCGGTTACTGGAGCAGTTTTCTCATATTGAGATTAACAGATTTGGGCGGCTGGAGAATCTGCCGGTGTCGAAGGCGATAGTAGAGTTAATGCCGACAGTTGAGATCGTAGAGGCGAAGGTGGAGACGAAGACGCACTATGCCGTGTGGAAAGAAGCATTCTAGTTGGGTTCGAAGGCGCGCGAGATGCCCTTCAAGCACTTTTACCATTCGGATTGCATTATCCCATGGCTCTCATGTAAACACACACAAAACTCTGGATTTTGAAGAAAAAAAAATCTTTTTGATAAAAATAAAGCGCTTAAAAAGTCATTTTTCAAAAATTCAACTAAATTTACCATTAATTATCATTAATCCCTCCCTATATGAGTAGATATTATGAGGTGCATATTGATGCGATTTTTGTGTTTATTTCTCTTCTTACTATCATTTTTTAAATAAGTATGGTTTTATGAAAGAAAGAGATATATAAAATATTTACATGACAAAATTATATTAAATTTACACAAGAGTATTCATTCTCCTATCAAAATATATTTTTAATATCAATTTTTTATTATTAATGTTTCATGACTTCTAACTCGAATTGGATTAATCAAGTAATCGATAAACCAAAGGATAATATTTAATAAAATAAGTATAAAGCACTAAAGATTGAGAATAAATCATTCCTCTATTCTAAAAATCATGGTTTATATGAGGGTGCAGTATAAAATCCGCTCAATTAAAAGATTATTTTTTTAGTCTTGTATATTTGTAACACTAATTAGTGGGCTATTTCACCCTTTTACCCCTCATTAATTATTTAATAACCATTTTGCCCCTTATTCAAAATTATCTACCAATCTGCCCCTCTTTAATCGATTAAGCCAAAAAGTTAATCGGTTAAATGGTCAAAATAGGCAAAATTCGTTGACTTGAAGATTTAGTCGATTAAATCTCCCTATTTAATCGATTAAATCTTCCATGCATAAGCTTGTTCTTCTGATAAAGAAGAAGATTTAATCGATTAAGTTGAATTTAATCGATTAAATCTTCATTTGACCATTTAATCGATTAAATATTCAATTTAATCGATTAAAGAGGGGCATATTGGTAGATAGTTTTGAATGAGAGACAAAATAGTTATTAAATAATTAATGAGGGGCAAAAGGGTGAAAAAGCCCTAATTAGTGTGCATAACAGTTAGGGCTTACACGTGACTTAGTGATTGATTAGGTTCAAATACAAGACTTTACAAATGCTCGATTAGCTGAAAAATATTAAAAACAAATATTATAAGACTTTTTATTTATATATTATAGTTTAACATTATTGTAAAAAGAAACTCAATGATGGTTTAAATTTACAATTCAAAATGTAATTTTAAAGAAAGGCAAAAAAATTGCAATTTAAATAACAAATTACACAATTAATGTCGTTTTCAAATATTTGACGAAATTAATGCCACAATTTGCGCCCAAACTTGTGCCCAATTGATTGCGCATCAATTGGATGCACAACTGCCACACAATAAAAATTACGAAATTATCCATACGAAAATAAAATAAAATGAAGTAAAAACTCAATGAAAATGACTCTAAAAACCCAAAACACACCGGCTCTCAATGCAAAGTATGAGCCTTGATCAGAAGAGTGATTCCAAATGCCCAGTTAAATCTAAGCTCATCTGAGATGGTCACCTCGGGTCATTAACAATCTGATCACTAGCTCTCAATAATAAATCATATATTACATGATGGTGTCACATACTCACATGACAAGCTTTTGTGAGTTGTGTCCAAACTTGTGTTCAACTAGTTGAACTTCAGTTGTTACACAATTCACGAGAGTTTGCCACGTGACATTGCACATGCAACTGATGCACAACCAATTGTGTATAAATTTGGGCATAAGTGGTTGCATTAATGTTGTAAAATATTTGAAAAAGACATTAATTTTGTAATTTGTTATTTAGTTTGTAATTTTTAATTTTTTTTGTCTTTAAAGACATACATACATTAGTATTATTTTTTTATATAATAATATTTTGCTTCACATAATTTAATATTAGTTCATACTCGGCAAGTATAGGGTATAAAGGCAACTGATCACAATTTTTTTATTCAACGTAGATTTCATATGCTTACGTTATTATATATTTATCACTTTTGTTTTTCTAACATTGGTTTCTCGCAATAAAGGTGGCCATTCAAATTGACATAACACATATGAATTTTACACGGATACAAATATATTTAACACAAACACAAGACAAATCTAAAAATGAGTTAAAAACTTTCTACACGAACAAGACTCACTTATTTTGTGGGTTGACACGACTAAACACGAATAACCTACAACCTGAAAATGTGCCACTTATTACAGGAGTTGACACGAGACAACACAACACAAATAACTTGACAAAGTCAAAACATGTATGTTATTATGTGGGTTGACACTATACAGTAAGACACAAAAAATCCATATTTTGAAAGTTGTTTTCACCAATGTCGTGTTGACATAATACTAATAATATGTAAGAAGATTAATGAATGTCAATTTCGTGTTTATGAGTTTACACGCAACACAATTCAAATTTTTCATGTTAATTTTCATCAACAAAAAACCCAACACAAATTTTAAAATAGGCTCATACAAACAAAAAAAAATTATCTCGTGTCAACATGTCGTATAAAAATTATCACTCCTACTCACAATCCAGTTGAGTCATGTTATTTATTGTACATATTCCGAGGGAATGAAGTCACGGATGTAAAATAAAATATAATGCACAAAGGTTTCGCGCGGACCATATATACGAGTCTTTCCATTAAACTTATATCTTGTGTAAGAAGTAGACAAGCAAGCTTATATTTAAATTAATAAATTCTTGCTGTTGTATTGTTACGCTATCGACTTTTGGAAGTTTGTTTCTAAATTATTGGTACGATCCCTTTTATATTCTCCACCATTTATATGAAATATTTGATTATTACTCGTACGATGAAGCAATTGGCTAAATCACCTAATATTTTTATTTTTATTTTATATATGAAAAAGGATTAGAACACACATGACTTAATATAATTATCCACACTCTTCACCCCTAGATTACCCCTAATGGCTTATCACCTAACTCCTTTGTATCATTTGTTCATGCGCTCATGCATCTTTGTCCTACATTGCTTTTGTCTTTGGGCATTGTCTTTCAACAAAGCGAGTCATCAAGAGAGATTATTAAGTCTTTGATTTCTCTCTAACTTCTTTAATACAAATTTAGCTAGGACTTTATCAAATTCAGAATTAGCTAGTGACGGTAGTTCGATGGTGTATTTCTCTTACAAGTTTCAGGAAAAACACATTTTTTCTACTTTACAATAAAAACTTCCAATTTGAATAAGAACACGGTACATCCAAATCAGCATCATAACCATCCAAGAAGTGCATTCATCATTAACTTTTATATTAAGCAAAACAAGGATCAATGATGAATATCCTTTTAATCGAAAAGGACATCATGTACACTGACACCATGAAGAGTATGATTGATGATAAACTCTTATAATAAGCAAAACAAAAATTAGTTAGTCAACTAAACCGATTGAACCGGGAAAATCACCAAGATGACAAGCTCTTCCTAATAAATTTCAAGATACATACATATCAATACTCAAAATTTAATATCACAAGTTAAGAGGGAACAAAAATGGAGTAAAACATGTGATCCATGTGTTTTATGGTATATCTGTTTTATTACTTATAAATAAGTAAAACATAAACAGATAGATCTCCTCGTAGAATACAAAAATGGAGTCACTTCTTCTACTTTTGTGCCTAGCTCTTCCACTATTTCTTTTCTTCTTCTTCCAAAAGCACAGAGCCACAACACGTCCTCATGGTCCTAGAGGCCTTCCTATAATAGGGAATCTTCATCAGCTGCACAATCCTACCCTTCATCTGCAGCTATGGAAGTTCTCAAAAAAATATGGCCCCATGTTTTCACTTCAACTCGGTTTAAGGCCATGCCTTGTTGTCTCCTCCTCCACAATGGCTCAAGAGGTTCTGAAAATCCATGACCTTCACTTTTGTGGTAGACCATCCTTTCTCAGCCAAAAGAAACTGTTCTACAATAGGGTCGAGATAGCATTTTCCCCATACAATGATTCTTGGAGAGAAATAAAAAAAATATGCACAGTTCATGTCTTTAGCTTGAACCGTGTCTCAAGCTTCTCCTCTATACGGCAATTTGAGATCAATCAAGTGATCAGAAAGATATCATTGCAAGCTTCTTCTTCAAAAGTTACCAATTTGAGTGAGGTTGTGATGTCTCTGACTAACACTATAATTTGTAGAGTTTCTTTTGGGAGAAGCTGTGAAGAGGAAGGAAGAACCAAAAGTAGGTTCCTTAACCTGCTTAATGAATCTCAGGTCTTGTTGGGTACATTCTTTGTTTCTGATTATATTCCATTAATGGGGTGGATTGATAAACTCAGAGGATTGCATGCTCGTCTTGAAAGGAACTCCAAGGAGATGGATGCATTTTTGCAAGAAGTTGTCAACCAGCACCTTGATAAAAAATCAGATGAAGAGGATATCATTGATGTCTTGTTGAAGCTGAAGAAGCAGAATTCATTTTCATTTGATCTCACTTATGATCGGATCAAAGCTGTGCTCCTAGTAATAACTCTTTTACTCTTTTAAAATTTAATTTTTAGGTTATAAATACCCACTTTTTAGGCTCTCGATTTACCATTAGATCAAAAGTTATACTTATAAATTAGAGCGTAACTCTTTTTACTCATCCTTAGTAGTCCAAGCTTCAATGGACATGATTCTGTTGGGATATTCAAGTGTGATGAAATCTCATATTAATTGCTAACAGGCTAAGTGAAAGTCATACAAATAGAAGGATCCATGAATGCAATGCCTTAAATTTTGAATTGAGACATGGTATCAAACTCACTTGCTATAATTAGGCTTGCTTAGCCCATTGGTGGTGGTATCCCGCCATGAGCTTCTCTTGACTCGTTTGACAAAGGTATCAAGGCAGGCTAGGCTCGAACTAGCTTGGTGTTTAGCTAGGAGGCAGGTAGAGTACTTGGGCCTGGGGTACTCGGAGTTAAAGAGGAGTATATCAATGGTGGGTTTCACAGTTGATGAAGAGATTATTGGGATATTCAAATGTGCACCAACAATTCTTAGGAAATTAAGCCTATGACCTTATCTTTTGATACCAAATGTTTGATCGAGCGCCTATCACTTTGCCAAAAATTATAATTATTAATCAAAGTTAAACTCTTTTTATTTACCCTTCCGAGTATCATGATTCAATTTGACTCAGATTTATATCAAGACTTACCGTGGGAAGATGTTGGCCTCCCTAATAACCCTAAGGACTTCGTTTTCAATATATAGGATATATTAGGTTATGCCACAATTATATGGCTCTGATACACAGCCATAGAAGACACTCTCTTAGACCAATTTTGTTATACTTTTCAGCTACTTATTTTGTGTATTTTATTTTTACAGGATATGCTTGTTGGAGGAACATATACAAGTGCTGCCACAGTAATTTCGGCTATGACCAAATTAATAGGAAACCCCAAAGCAATGATGAAAGTTCAAGCAGAAGTTAGAAATTCGTTTGGGAACAGAGGCTTTGTTGATGAAGATGAAATCCAGAAGCTTGGCTACCTTAAGGCAGTGATAAAAGAGACACTGAGATTATTCCCTCCTGTGCCACTACTTTTAGCAAGAGAAACGAATGAAGAATGCATTATAAAAGGGTATAAAATTCAAGCCAAGACATTGGTGTATGTGAATGCATGGGCCATTCAAAGAGACCCTGAAATTTGGAAAGACCCAGAAAAGTTCTATCCTGAGAGGTTCTTGGAGAGTTCAATTGATTTTAAGGGACAAGACTTTGAGCTGATTCCATTTGGTTCAGGAAGAAGAATTTGCCCAGGGTTACATTTTGGAGTTGCCAATGTGGAGATTATACTTGCAAACCTTCTTTATTGGTTTGATTGGGAAATGCCAACTGAGATAGAAAAAGAAGTCACAAACAGTCAAATGCAGCCAGGCATTGTCCAGATTGAGAAGGATTCTCTTTTTCTTGTGCCCAAGAATCATTTCTGAATGCATACAAAGGGTCCAAAATAAATGGTAAACTGGATTTTCTTCTTTGTTTCTGTTTATAATGCTCCACCTAATAATATAAGTAATTTGGCATCGGAAATACTTTTGTTACGTTTGCAAAATAATTACAAGTGGGACCCACAAATAAGAGGAAAAAAAAAAAAAAAGAGTAATAGAATCCATTCTTTTTTTGTGTGTAGAAAAATTATTTCTCTCATGTAAAATGAGATAAAGATAACCTTTAGTTTATATTATACAGTTCCTTTTATCTTCTTTAGTAATATATATGTGTCGAATTTATAAAATATATAACTAGAAAAAACAACTAAGCTAGTAAATTTTAACTCTTGATGCTTGGTACCTATCTTTTTGAAGTTTAAAACTTGACAAATCCTAAGACTTTAAATAATGCCACTAAGAAATATTACTAAAGTTGACTTTACAACAAAGAACCCCTTCCAAATTTGAGATTTCAGTAGTTTACAGGTTGAGCAAAAGAGTAAAGAAAGCCGAATAACAAAACGATTTTCCATTCGCAACTAAACCACATAAGCCTTATCACGGATTTTATAATATATAGATGAGATAATATCCGTTTACAAACTTTTTTTACAAATTATGCAGTGTACGACCGGTCGTACACTGCATAATTAAACTATGACCGGTCGTACTTAGTGTAGTTTGTAAACAAAAAAAATTTGTAAATATAACATGCCCCTATATAGATAGGACAAAATTGTCTTCTCAATTCTTTTTTTTTTTTTTTTCAATTTTCATGCTGGAACTCTAACCCCCACCTAACCTCGTTACATGTTGTGTTTTAACTTGAAAAATTATTTTTTTATTATACGTGTGTAATGTTGGAGGACGAATAAGGAACAGCGATGAAATTGTTTCTTTATCATTGAGATGTTACAGGTTATGCTAACAATTATCCCATCTCAAAATTATCTTTTATCTCCTGTTTTCATAGAAAAACATATTTATTTTAAATTTTTCAATCTCAAATTTTGTTAACGTAATATTAACAATAATTTATTTATTTCGTTGTCTATATTATAGTATACATGAATAATATTATACATATAAATTGTATGGTATATTACAACAAATGTTATATGTGTTAAAAATATTGCAATATTATATAATTACACCAGTAAACATTAATCATAAATAGTACAATAATATGAATACTAACTAACAACCAATTCAATCTGAGAAAATATTTTCAATGTTACCATTACATTGAGAAGTTAGTATCCTTGTTGCTATGACGAGTGGTATACCATTTAGGTACTTAAAAATTAAAAGACACATATATATTATGGCTAAAAAGCTTCTCCTTCTTCTGTTACTCTCACATTAAAAAGAGTCGTTTCTCTTTTTTTTCTTTTTCTAAAAATAATAGAGCCCAATTTTCTTGAGTCAGCTGCAAAAAAATATTTTCTATAGTCGCTGAAGAAGTATAAAGCCCATATATTATATAAGAAAAGTTATAATTACAATTATTTTTTACAAATTATACTATATATTAGGGGTTGTATATTATGTGTTGAAATATATTATTCCTAGTATATAATATAATTTATAAACAAAAAATTTATAAATATAATTTTCTCCGTATTATTATCATGTCAACACCAAAGGAAAGAGAAAAGATACATATACCACCCATGATATATATATAGGCAGGATCTTTTGACATTAGTGTCAAATTTGAAATTTGATCCCTCGTCTTATAGCTGTTAGATAAAAAAAGATCAATAGTGTCACATACTTACAAATCAGAGTCGTTAATTTTTTTTTATCTAACGGCTATTAGATGAAGTTTTAAATTTCAAATTTTACACTAATATTTAAGAATCTTGTCTCTCTCTATATATATATATATGGGTTTTACTTCTCTCATGTTGTATGAGAGAAGTTATCTCATGTTGTGAGATAAATTAAGTGGGATCCACCAATTTTTAAAAAAAGAAAAAGAAAAGAAAAGTGAGGCACGTCTTTTTATGTGAGTGTAAAATAAGATAGTACTCTTATGTGACATAAGAGTATAACTTCTCTCTCTATATATATATATAGATATATATATTATGAAAAAAGAGTTTCTTATATTGCTGCAAACTGGAACCCATCTGCAGCTAACTCATAAATCAGAGGGGAAAAAAATGAAAAGAGATAAAACAATTAATAATCGGACCCATTTATAATTTTGACTCAGGTGCAGATGCATTTAAGTTTGCAGTAATATAAGAAACAAATTTCCCATATATTATATTATAGGTACATGACAATAGTACTGAAGTCTCGCCGTATTACCTAACTACTAAAAATGAGCTCGAGATCTTATTATATCACTTATTCATTGTTGGCCAGGTAATACCCAAGTGTTTTTGAATTTGATGGAAAAAATCTTCAATGGATGATTGAAAAATGGGAAACCTAAAGATAATGTTATAGGAAAACTACTGCAGCTATATGCAGACACGATAAAATCATGGGGGCCACAAATTTTTTCTTTTCTTTTCTTATCTCACTTTCTCTTTCTCTCATTTGCTTAGTCCGCAGGAAATTTATTGTTGCTTCCAGCAATATAATACAAACATAACCCTTAAAAAATACATGTAAACGTAGAATAATTTTTACAAAATAAAAATGTATATAACTTCCCTATTAATACAAGGAAAAAGAATTCTACATAAAAGAATAATCCTTCTTTATGCAAACATGCAAAATAAGAAAAATATTTAAAAGATGCAATAATTTTTTCTTTTTCAAATCACATACATTGTTAAGATTGGTAAAAAAAACCTAAAATCTTTTGCAAGGGATATATTCACTAATGGCCAAATGACAAACCTCATTAAATGAGTCGACACCACATTCCAACCCAAAATCATACGGATATAGATTTATGGGTCTTTTGCACTTGTATCGTCATCACTTGGACTTTGTCCAACCATTTGGGGGACTTCACACCACTACTTATACTTAAATGTTCCCAACATCTTTTCCTTGAGTGTGAAGGCCCAATATCAAGCTTCCCCTTAAAGATAATTTATGCGGAAGTCTCTTGTCTTCAAGTATTAAAGTCACACTAATTTTCTGCGAAGGTCTTCTTTTCAACTGCATAATCATGTCCAATAGTTAGTCCAGCCAAACCGTTGACTATGATACCATTGTTAAGAATTATATAAGGGAGCCCAAAACTCTTTGTAAATAATACATTCATCAATGGACCAAATAACAAATCATAATAAGTGAGTTTACAATATATCTTAACCCAAAACTTTAAAACTATAGATCTTTTACACTTATATAACCCTCACTAAATCTTTGTCGAACTATTAGGGGACTTCATAGTTCACGCCACTACTACATGCTTTACTACACCAAAATAATAGAGGAAAACTTTTTCTACTTCTGCATCATTGTTCATATGCGGCAGAGCAAATAGATTCCTCCACCAAGCACCTTCTACCCGTGCAAATTGCCAACTACCTTCAATAAATTCTCTTTTTGACTTCAAAGCAAAAAAAGACTTTGTTTTTAACACTCATCACCTTCTTTGTGTAAATACGATTATGGGTAGCAAGAGAATATTTCGGTTAGGCTTTATTTATTATTGAGGAGGCAGTTAAATTTTCTAAAAGTTTAATACCAATAAATCAAAAGCGAAATGCTATTAAAATTAAAAAAATATATGCATAATTATATTTTTTATTTTTAAAAAAGGTAGATCTTCTTATATCGGAGAAGAATAAAAAATATTTTATTTAATTTTAATAGATGAAAATTAATAATTAATTAATAAAAATAACTCAATTAACTATCATCATTTAATAGATGAAAATTAACAATTAAAATTGAACGTAAGTATAAATTCATCATGCTCCTTTAAAAAATAAAATATATTTTTTGAAAATAACACATATTTTTTAATAAAAGATAAAATAAAAATCAAGACGTACACATGCACATGAATAGAAAAGCTTCAATTCAGCATGCAACAGTGCATTGAAGTTTTTCTTGTAACGTGGACTGGTAATTGGGACTTTGGAGTACAAGACGAGGGGCTACTGTATCTGATTGTATACGCTTTTGAATGGAAAATGCTGTAGGCGTACATTTTTTAGTAAATTATTCCCTTTTTTTATTCGTTATCTAATACTGTAATCTAATATTGCATTAAATTGTAACATATCATTAAAATTTAGCATATTCAATCATAAATATTTTGTTGTTGAATGTTATTATTTTCTTTCTTCGACTTTATACTTTAAAAAAGAATATTCGTTTGATAACGTAATTAAATTAAAATAAAATTTTACTTTAATATCCACAATGTAAACTTTCAATTTAGATACAACAAATGGACGTATTAATTTTTTTTACCTGAATAAGATTGAATAATGAAACAAATGACATTACATACATAAATTAACATGTTAATTAAGTTTGTGAATATTTTAAAATTAATAATAAAATTATATAAAAATAAAAATATACTATTTTGCGTGTGCTTCTTCTGGATATGTGTGGGTGCAGAGTGAAGAGTGCAGACTATGCTGCGTGAGATGGTAATGAAAATGGTATGTACTAGTAGTGGGTGGTTTCATGGCTGATTAATAGACTGTGTTTGCTATCACCAAAAAAAACAAAAAATAGACTGTGTTTGCTGCTACAACAGCTGCTGACGATAACATTGTGATACGAACTTCGGTTCCCACTGCTGGGATCAAAAGAAAATTGGAGGAAAGAAAATATAATTAACAGTACTCTAACAAAGGTTGATTGAATAAAGTAAACAATGGTTAATCAATACAATGATTAAATTTCAATGTAATTTGATTATATTTATCATTTTTTTCTTATAACTTCTTGTAATTATTTTACGGCATGTAGGCTTCTTTTATTAAAAGATTAAATATATTTTTAAGTCCTTAACAAAAAATACGATATTCACATAAGTCCCTTACAAAAAAAATTACTCTCGAGATTCCTAAAAATTTAAAGTGGACCCATTAGTTGAAATCGTGGTCCCTCACAAGTTCAAAAAGATCCACATTAATTTCTCAAAAGGACTAAAATAAGTTCACTTTGAATTTCATATGGATCAAAAAGGATATTTACTCTTATTAAAATATATTTTTTTAACTTTGATTTTTAAAAATGCCCTTTTATTTTTTAAAATTAAAAAGTTGATGTTTTAAAATTAAAATCTCAAGATTATGTTTTTTTTATGTATAACATCTACAAAAAAAAAAATTAGTGGTGAGTATGAATCAATTTGATAATAACATTAAATAATTGATTATCCTCTTTTAATTATGCAATTATATAATATAGTATTATTGAAAAATGTCGAATGGTGATGATAAAGTGGTGAGTTGTAAAAACAATTATTAAAAAAATTTAAAATGAAGAAATATCATTGGAAAACATCAAATGATGATGACAAAGAGATCAATTATAAAAATAATAATGAAGTAACATAACTGAAAAATACTAAACGGTGGTGCAGTGTTATTAAAATCGAACCAATCCGGCCGGATCGACTCGGGAATCGGTAAATCGATCATATAATCGGTCCGGTTGAAGCAACGGACCGGTCATGCATCAGAACCGGTGTGACTTGGTCTGACCCGGTTGGTTAACTGATGATCCGGCCCGATCCCAAAAAAATTATTTAAATTATTTTTTCAAAAAAAAATCATAATGGATATATTTGAATATTTTTTTACTTATTGACTTACATAAGTTATGTACCTACAACACTAATATTATCTCAATTATGCACTATCTAAAAAGATTTGATTTGATTTATAGTTAGAGATGTCGTTTTCTGAACCTAAAGCCTCGTATCACGATCATTGTATCTTTGTTTGATCCTTTATTGGATAATAATATGAGATTTATTATTTTTATATTAAAATATTTGAAATTTTTATCATGTTTTTTAGATATTTGAGTATGTTTATAATTTTTTAATATAAATTATAAAATTGCATATAATTACCGGATCATGCGGTTGAACCAATGACCCACTGGTTAAACCAGCAACCCAATGACTCAGTACCTCAACCGAGTCAATAACCGAGCCAGTTTTAATAACATTGCAGTGGTGACAAGATATTAAGTGTGAAAGTGATAACAAAATAATATCATTGAAAATTAGCAAAAAGATTAGTTGTAAAAGCAATAATAATAATAAGAAAAAAGCCCAAAGATAGTGGTAGCATTAATGTCTCATTGTCCAAAGGAATAATTCCTATAAATTGGTGAAGTTTTATTAGAAGTTGGAAGAGAAAAAAAAATTAAAGAGAGTAAGAATTAAATGATAAGAATGGAAAGAAATAGAAAGATATAAAGAGAATGACAGACTAGAAAAAAATTGATACTCGTCATTTTGTAGGATTCTCAGAAAATTGAATTTTTTTTAAATTTTAAATATTTGAATATTATTATAAACTGAATATAAAAATTATATTTTTGAAAATCGAGATTCTCGAATAAAATTTTTTTTCCCCTTTGCCAAACGCCCCTTACCGACTAAGTATTTATTGAGCATACTCTCACCAATTGATAGCGTTGACTTCTACTCAGGCTCAATACTTTTGAGTGAATATGGGGAATTAAACGATTTCCAAACTTATTTTAAATTTTATTATGAATATATTTATTTATTTTATTCTTGTTTGGAAATGTTAAAATGGCTCAAGAAGCGCCAAAATCGGCGCAAATAGCATTGTGTAATAACAAATCGGTATACACTTTGATGCTGATTCTATAAAACAGCCATATAATTAAAAATAAATAGTAATGATAAAATAAAAATAAATAAATAAAATATTAAAACAATATAATAAATGAATATATATATATATATATATAATATAATAAATAAATAAATAAATATTAAATATTACAATAGTATATACAAATATATACAGAAGTCAGTATCATGTGTAGGCACCCCAAGGATACTCAAAACATTTAAAGATTGTACAAAAATCTTAATATTATTGAGATTAATTTCACGTTTGTTTGTTTTTAGGCTAAGCTTTCCAGAAAGTAAGTATGTCAGTATGTGTAGCGTGAGTAGGATAAAGCTCTACGATTAAAGATTTTAAAGATTGTACATAGTTCAGTGAAGCAACTAATAGAATAAAATAAAATATTTCTTTTTAGTTTAGATTATGTTATATTTCAGATGTAATAGTGAATTTGACTTCTGTATAAGTAAATTTTAAGAATATTTTATCATTTGCTTTATTTTATATCCGCTGCGTGAGAATCTTATATTCTTTAATTTAAAATAAGATTTGAGAAATTATGTTATATCCTCCATGCTAGCCGATTATACGAGATATTATATTTTTATGGTATAAGAGTATAATGGTTCAGATAAATAAAAGACTTAAATTAGATGTTGCTTGGTATTTTGTCATAAGTCATGCATATTTTGAATTATTAGTATTGAACCTGACCAACTCACTACCATGAAACAATATATGTAGATCTATAGCAAATACAAAGCAAATATCTTCAACTTATGAACCATAAGTTAACCCAGTAACTGATGTATTTATTCGGGTGGCAGAAGCTCTTAAGTATAGACTGTAACAAATCAGCAAATTATTCAAGAGCTGAGGGAGGATCGTGCAACCAGAAACCATACTCATAACTCTGAAAATGAAAGTGGACCTAGATCTGCTAATGCTCAAGAGGACCTAATCATGATTATAAAGAATTAACTGAATTTCATAAGCATAAACCTTCCACTTTTCATGGAGATTATAACCCGGAGACAACTCTAGAATGGGTGAAAGAACTCGAGAAAATATTTCTGGTAATGGATTATCCTATTATTCATCAGGTAAATTTTGTCACATATATGTTGATTGGAGAAGCAGAACATTGGTAGACAAATACCAAAATATATTTTCAAAGTCAAGGAACATGAATTACTTGGGCAACGTTTAAAGATACCTCTTTGAAAAAATATTTTCCAAGAAACATGAAAGAAATAGAATTCCTTGAATTAAAACAAGAAAATATGACTGTTGGTGATATGTGCCAAAATTTCAGGAACTATCTAGATATTCCAATTTTGTACAGAATCAACCTAATGAATAATGGTTGATAACTAAGTTTGAATCTGGATTAAAACCTGAACTTAAAAGTATTATAATAGGACATCGAATAAGAAACTTTTCATCACTAATAAACAGATGTAGTGATATTGAAGCAAGCATGAAGGAATTTGAGGAGGCAAGAGAGAAAGCCAGAGGTACAAACTGAAGGAGGAAGAATGATGATGAGGACGAAGAGAGGTTTCCACAAGCACATCACTCAGAAAACAACTTTGCTGACAATGGAGGAAGAGAAAACGAAAGACGAATGAATTCTCAGATTCAGGTATGTCCTAAGTGCAAGAAAAATCATGTTAGAGAATGCCTAGTAGGAAAAGGCGTATCTTTCTCATGTTGCATGAGATAATTTTGTCTCATGCAGCACAGAAAAAAGTGAGTGGAACTCACTAAGGAGAAGAGATAGAAATAAAAAAGTGGATTCCACTCATTTTTTTGTGCGTGTATGAGACACAATTGTCTCATGTAACACGGTAAACATATTTCCCTTCATAAATCCTCCAAAATCTTCCTCCAAACATTTGATGAGTTCTCTAAGATTAAAATGGTATTAAACAAATAATATCATGGGGATATTTTAATTTAAACAATGGTTTTAAAATTTGATATGAAAATTTTTGGGATTTTTGACCCATGTAAAGTAAAATTAGAAATATTTTACTGATTTAATTCTTTTGACAAATAGTTTATGAATCTAAAGCAAAAAGATGCACATTTAGATAACGCATGTTTAAGTCGTGCACCCTTCAAAGCGTGACTTGTGCAAAAATAAGTGCACCTACCATGTATTCTGCAAGATTGGCAGTGTACATTCAAGTTGCAAACGCCTTCCACGCATATCCCATTGAACGTGGCAAGCGCATTTCGCACATCTTTTAATAAATTTTAAAAAAATATAATTGAATTTTATTTTCATTATTTTATGATTTTTTTTATCTAAATTCCACATTTTTCTATAGTACCACGATATGCATCTTTACTTGTCAATCCTTTGTCAAAAAATTAAAGGGAATAAAAAATGGGAATAAGATCTCTGTTTTTGAAGTAGAGAATTTCTCTTTACCACAAAAAGAAATTGTAGAGAAAGCAGAAATCAATTAGGGTATGTTTGGTTGGAGGTTTTTGAGGAGATAAACAAATATGAAGTGGGGAAATTGGATGTTCATGTTTGGTTGAGAGAGGTTCCTAATTTAGGTACCTAAATTCCTTTGCTAGCAAACCACCTTATCTAGCATTTTGAAGCAAGAAAGCAGGCTAAAGAAACCCTTTTCTGATGTGGTTTTCTCAGTTAGCTATGCATTTGGGTATACTGTGTAATAAGGAAAAGATTTCTTTTTATGGGTAAAGGGCAGCAAGGCTTATCAATATTTTTTAAAAATAAGGATATTTTTGTAATATCACATTTCTTCCCATCTATATTTTACCAAAAGTCAAACATAGATTTTACAAAAGTTACTTAATTTTTCCGGTAAAATTTTTTCCTACCAAACAACTTTTTTTACATTTTCGTACCAAACTCATTTCCCAACCATTTCCCTACTAATCACATTTCCCTATGATTCATAAAAATTTCTCCTCAACCAAACGCCTCCTTAGAGAAAAAAAATATGAATGGTGTGGCCCCTACATTTTTATTTCTGGGTGGTAAAGAAATTATCTGCTTTAAAAACAGAGATCTTAAAGGTCCGTTTGGATAGATGTTTTTTTCAGAAAAAAAAAACACTTTTTACCTTAAGTTTGTTTGGATGTATACTTTTAAAAAAACAGAAGTCATAAAAAATGTCAAAAATCAACATTTTTTAGAAGCTAAAAATTTTAACTTCTAAAAAAATAAAAATCAAAGGGAGAGGTTATAGTTACTACCTCTTATTGTTACTACTAAATCGTAACCGTTGATTTCCGTCAATCTAACGGTTATAATATATTAAAAATTAATAATTAATTAATAAGTATGACCTAATAAATTATAACCATTAGATTGACGGAAATCAACGGTTATGATTTAGTAGTTAAAATAAGAGGTAGTAACTAACTAACTATAACCTTTCCCAAAATCAAAATCTAAATATTTTTATAAAAATATAAATAACTTTAATTTTTAAAAAAAAATATTTCTAAAATAAAAAAGATATAAAAATTATTTTTTTTAAAAGTCCAAACAAACATTTCTTATTTCTATAAAAAATCGTCTGTTGGTGCAAAACTGTTGATCTCCTATGATAAAGACAAGATTCTGGCCCCACAATTTTTAAATAAAATAAAATATTTCCTAGCACAATTTTCGAACTCTTAGCTTCAATCAATTCTTTCTAATTTGCTCAAAGTTAAATTAATAAATAATTCCTCAATTCCACTTCATGGGAGCCAAATTTTTGTCACCTGCATCGTCATAATCTCCATTGAAATTCTCTAATTAAGATACGATACATACAACTAGAATAATGAAAAGCCTGAGAGTCCGTATGTTCATTTCAAAAAAAAAAAAAAACAGTAAATGTCGTTAAAAAATAAAAGATCTTTCATTTATGTTGCCCATACTTTTGTCCAACTATCAAGCATGGTGTACGACACAATCCTCTTTTACTGTAGCTACCCTCATTTGCTTCTGCCTTCTTCTTTCATTGGTAACAGTAATATTTGTATCCTCCTCTGCAAGCGCCGTTTCTGCTTTTAACCCTCTTCTCTCTTTTTCTCACTCTCCCCTTTTTCTCAGAAAGCCAGTTTTTCCTCTGATCCAACCTTGTTTCCTTCTTAGTATCTCCTCCATAAACACTATTCATAATTCTTTACACTTCAAAATTCAAACTTACCAAAGAAAATCATGGTGGGTAAATCGTTTATTTTTTTATTTTTTTATTTTTTTCACTTAAGATACTTTCATAGCTTAATTGCAACTTTACTTTAGCTACTTTCTTCTAATTCAATTCATTCATTATCCTTTTTCTGCCAATTCGTGTTCACAGTTAATATCTTCTCCACATGTTCCACGTTGGCTTCAAGTCCTCCTCACTGAGAAGTTCTACAACGCTTGCGTGATTCATGAAGGGGCAAAGAAGAATGAAAAGAACGTTTATTGCTTGGATTGTAGCATCAGTCTTTGCCCTCATTGTTTGTCCCCTCACCGTTCTCATAGACTCTTGCAGGTTTTGCTTTAAACATAAACAATCCTTACCTTCATTATTACTTTTTATTTCAATTTATTTTTTCTCAATGTTTGGTCTGAATTTAGTGTTTTATGCCGTTTCACAGATTAGAAGATATGTGTATCACGATGTTATAAGGCTGGATGATGCTCAAAAGTTAGTTGACTGCACTTCGGTTCAAGTAAGTGCATATTTTTTTTAGCATCGAAAACTATGTTTATCATAATTGAATAAGAAAAATGAAAAGAGAGATAGAAAACCCGTTTAATTTTCTTCTCATGTAGATTATAAGCGTATGCTAATTTAGCATTTTAGCTCTCTTGTGAAGGCTTTCTTTAACTAGATAGAGATTTAAAACATTGAACAATTTGCAAAGTTAGAGGTAGTACCACACAGCACATTTTCCAATTCCCGATTTAGGTTCTTTTGACTATACAATCTTTCCATTAGCTTCTACTTTTTATGCTATTCTTTTATTTATTAACTTTCATGTTTGAGAAACTCATGGATGATGATACATTTGCAGAGGATTCAACAATGAAAACGGAAAAAATAGAGTTTTTTCTTGTAAAAATCCACTTATATTGGAACTTTTTGCACTTATTGTTATTATGATTATGATTCTCTTGAGTTGGTTCTCACTTTCTTTCTCTCTCTACAGTCCTACACAACCAACAGTGCAAAAGTGGTGTTTTTAAACCAAAGGCCACAGACAAGGAACTTCAGAGGCTCCAGCAATTTCTGCAACACCTGCGACAGAAGTCTGCAATACCCATACCAATTTTGCTCTCTTTCTTGCAAGGTCCTTTTGTCTAAACCAAAAAAAGAAAAACTTGGACTAAAAAGAAAACAATAAAATTTTTCATTATTGCACCTTTTTGTTCATCTGGGTCTCCTTTGTTTCTCAAAAATTTCTCAACTTTCTCATTCACCCAGCCAATTACTCTCTTTTTCTCAAATGGGTGTTCTTTCATCATCACCATTATTATATCAATTTTTCTCTGATTGTGTCTTTGGGTTTTGCTTTCACAGATCAATTACCTCGTTGCAACAACAGGTAGTGTCTCTGGATACCTATTCGAGTGCAACTATCTGTCCTTACCCGAAACCGGGTTCGATGACTTTCTGATGAACCCCGGTTCGGTTCTCGACTCTGATATTGTGAGGAAGAAAAGGAGTGGCGGTTCGGCTTACCGACCGGCGTGTCGACCGGTTTGTGAAATTTCTGCGGGTTTGATGAACCGAAGAAAAGGGACCCCACAGAGGGCCCCACTGTACTGAATTTGTGTACGGTCACGAAAGAGGGTGGAGATAATGGAGGGAGGTTTGGAGAAAACCCATAATCTATGTTGTTTTGGTTCCATTATGTTTAGCTTCCTAGTTTTGTGGATTTCACCCTCTTAAGCTTCTATTGTTCTGTTCTAATCTGGTTATGGTCTTTGGTGGTTTTTTGATATCTTCACGAGGATCATAGCATTATGTGGGTTTTTTGACTTTTTAGTATGATGATTGATATGGTACATGGTTCTACTTAACATAACGTTCATGTGCTCTATAGTAGTGTATTACGATTTTCTTTTTCATTTTACAAGTCATGGTCAGTTATATTTATTATCATTTTAGATTTATTAATCTTATTATTTTTTTTATCGTTAAATCAACTGCAATTAATTTTTAAAATTTTAAATTTTAAATTTTAAATTAATTCAATGATAACCAAACAGATATTAAGAACAATTAATAATGTTAATTTTTTTTACCAAAAAAAAAATTGATGGTAAATTTAATCTTTCCCACAAATTAGGCATAAAATGTTGGGTGCGGTTGGTAAGCTTTTGCAGAAGCTTTGTCTTGATTATGTAAGTGATCATGTTCTCAACTATATTTGCAGTGACAGGAAGAGGAAATTGAGGTGTATATGTTACAAATAAGCTGATTTTGTGGTGGTTTGACCAATAGGATGCCATATTGAGGCTAATGCCTTGGTTGGTTCGGTTGAATGCACAAAGAAATGGTAAAAAATATATGGAAAATTTTTACTTTTAAAGCATGGTTATTTTAGTTAAAATTAGTATTTTTTATTTAAAATTTAAATTTAAAAAAATCATCAATTTTATCTTCTCATAATTTTTATTGTATATTTTTATTTTATTTAAAATGACATAATTTTATATATTTTAAAAGGTCAAATATCACACCTAATATATATATAGGGTTTATTTTTTCTCCAGTAAGTTAATACGACGTCGTTTTGGAGCGAAAATCATGGTGTTTTTGTAGTTTTAATTTATTTCAGGGTTATAATAGTCTTTATATTTATAATTTTTTGAGATTTTAATACCAAAACGACGTCGTTTTGGTATTAAAATCTCAAAAAATTATAAATATAAAGACTATTTTAACCCTGAAATAAATTAAAATTACATAAACACCATGATTTTTGTCCCAAAACGACGTCGTATTGGGCTTACTGCAGATAACTTATCTGCAGTAACTGCATAAAAAGTGAACTCATATATATATATATATATATATATATATATATATATATATAAAAGATGGTTGAAGCTATTTTAAGTATGTTTGGAAATAATTTATTTGATTTAGAAATAAAATAGTGTTTAAATAGTCCATATATTTCTACTAAGCTAATGATTTTAATTTCTACTAATATATTTCTACTTTCTAATGATTTCAAATATAAACTTTGCATACTGTTATTTGTCGATAAATCTCACGTTCTAAACCGCAAACGGCTTTGCACTGTTGGGGCCAAAAGGTTTTTTATTCAAATTCTAGGTGAAATAACTTGGAATTAATAAAAAAAATAAATTCATATTCTATCCGACGAGAGGATTAGTTTCGTACAAATAAATGAAGACACTTGTAATCGTGACCTGCGTCATTAGGAAGCAGCAGCTCAATGGCCCACAAATATTATAGTGATCATGGAAGATAGCAGCAGAAATTGAGCAGTACTGTACATTATGTCTTTTCTTTTCACTGTTTTCTGTGCCTGTAGCTGGTGTAGCATGGTGACAAAATTCAAAGACAAAGGTCTACTGATTTATTGCAATTTGTCCCTATCCCAATGTCATTCCAGTTGAGCTGTCCTCTGCTGTGTAATTTTTCTTTTGTGATACGGGAGTAAAGAAAAATTTTATTCCTATTTAAATCAATATTTTTATCTTTATTTTTTCTAAATTCCAATTTTTTATCCTTTTTAAAAAGACGTGGGGGCATAGAGATATAAATGGACTGAGTCTATATAAATTAGATAAAGAAAGTTATACTTGCAATTTTGTTTTACAACCATATATCATAATCGTTGATTTCCGTCAATCAACGGTTGTCATTTATTATGAATTAATAATTAATTAATGAGTTTAATTTGCGAAAATCATAACCGTTGATTGACGGAAATCAATTATTATGAAATATGGTTGTAAGATATAAAAAAAAAGTTGTAACTATAACTTCTCTCAAATTAGATTTATGTAAAATATTTTATGTCTAACTTAATCTGTTAATTTTGTGTAGACTCAAATTATATATATAATATGACCTGTATTTAAAAAATAAAAATATTGGCCTAAGTCTGTCAACTTGTTTAACTCTATTATGTATTTAATAATTAAAATAATATTGCTTTATTATTCAAAATTATTAATATAATAATTTTATTTAAAATAAATAATATAATATAGGCAGACCTGAAGGCTTATAGGTCCAACACGTAAAAAAAAAACTTATGACCTATTTTCTAAATATGTTATTTTAAAAGCCTGAGCCATTCAATTTGATTATATGTAACAGTCCAAATCTGGTATGATATAGGCTGGTCCGTAGGCCCTTGTTAGGCCGCCTGACTCATTTATACCCCTAGCGGTACAATAGTAGCACTAAAGATTGCAAGTTTTTTTGGTTAAATCACATGTATCCTTCGTGAGAGACAATCTTGTTCGAGACGGATCTAGGATTAAGACTTTAAGGGTATGTTTGATGCACTGTATAAGATAAGGTCTCATAGTATAAGACTTGATTGTATAAAACCTTATTAAGTTTTAATACTATCTAACGTTTGACATAATATTATATAAGATAATATCATTTAGTGTTTGGTAATACACTGTTTAATACTAGATAGGATAATAAATATTCTTTGATAAAAGTGTTTATATAATTCTTCTAAATATGTCATACGATATTAATTTTTGTTAAAATCTATTAGTCAGTGTGTCCAACAAATATATTATTTTTTATTAAAATAAAAGTATCCAATATTTTAAAAATTATAATGTTGAAAAATTAATGTTTATTTTAAAATATTAATATTAAAATAATATATTAATTATTGAGAGTTTGATTGGCCAGCGATGTTAATACATTAATCTCTTATCATGTCTAATCTCACCCCGTTAGGCTTGATTAAGTTATACATTATTTGATGTATTAAGGGACTCTGCTATATAAGCTTATATTATACGATGGTCACACCAAACAACTAAAAATGTTATAACGTATATTATAAACTTATATTATCAAGCCTTATACATCACACCAAACAACAACTAAACCCCTCCCAAAGATGGTACTTGAGAGTATCGCACACATGCTCTTACCCTATGTAACACCGATACTGACACTGGACACGTGACACGACACGACACGATACTCTGACACATTAATTCTAAAAAATGTTAGATTTTGACACATTAGGACACGTTTTAATATTAAATAATATTTTTAATTTATATAGTGTATATTATATTTAATATTCACTAATTTAACAAAAAAATGAAACTAAACTTACAATATTCATCTATTTTGCAAAGAAACATAAGATATCTCAAATATTTATATTAAATTCAATAAAATAGTAATCGTAATCCAACGAATCTAATAGTTGGAACTAAAAACTCAACGCAATGCAACCTTTGAACTTTTTTTGAATTTATATAATGCGTGTTGGAGTGTCGGAGTGTCGAAGAGTGTCGTGAAGTGTCGGACACGACATGTCAAAATTTTTGAAGTGTCGGTGCTTCATAGCTCTTACCCCTCACCTGCTCAGCTCCCATGTGCCAACTGATCCACCATCATTTGTTAAGATTGCAAGTTTTTTATTTAATGTAGGTGTTTCTTATACGGAGGAGGTTATACGTATTACCTTTTTTTCTTACTGCCTATTACTATTAAATTGTAACCGTTAATTTCTGTCAATCTAATAATTATAATTTATTGGGTCACACTTATTAATTAAATATTCTTTTCAATAAATTATAACAGTTAGATTAATGTTATCAACTGTTAAAATTTGATAGTAAGAAATAGTAAGAAAATAATAATAAATATAATCATTTCCTTCTTATATTGTAGTAGATACTTTTTTTTTTCCTTCACATATTGAAGTATATGAGACTAATTTTTTTTTTATCTTCTCTTGATATAATTTTATGTGAGTCTCACATATTTTTATGTGTATATAAAATAAAAAATATTAATCCCTACATAAAATCCTAATATTTATGTTTATTTACGGAGTTTGAAAACAATATTATCTCATGGCAAATCATTATATAATGAAAAGGGGTAGAAGAAAATTAGTATAGCCATGAGTTAACTTAAAACTCCATTAAAGGTAAGGGAAAAATGTTTTTGCAGTTACTGCAGATAAATTATCTGCATTTATTCTCATTTATTTTCAAAACGACGTCGTTTTAGTATTGAAATATTAAAAAATTATAAATATAAAGATCATTATAACCCTGAAATAAATTAAAATTACATAAACACCATGATTTCCGCTTCAAAACGATGTTGTATTGGACTTACTGCAGATAACTTATTTGCAGTAACTGCAGAAAAAGCGAACCTAAAGATAATTATAAGGGTTTTATAAGAGTTATGTTGTAGGAAAAGTGATTGTGTTATGTTATAGAGATTCGTTTTGCGTGCCAGAGTTTTTTTTTTGCTGCGGGCCCCACAAAATATTGTGTGTGTAGAAAATCTTTGTGATCATGTTAAATGATAAATGATAAACCCTAATTATAAACAGATTTTATAGATAATAATAGAAGAATTAATGATAAGATAATTGACAGAAGCATCAAATTTGGCTATAAACAAAAAGGTTTGATTTTCTCGTTTTACATGATAATTGAATTCTTATGTTGTGACTCAATTAATAGTGGGTCTCACATTTATTAAAAAGAGAAAAAGTAAAGAAAAATTTTATATGCAAATCAAAGAATCACAACATAACAATTGAATTCTTATGCAAC